TTAAGAGTGAAAAGTAAGTTGTGACAAGAACGTTTCTGTAATAAATGAAATTGTAAATTCTGAAGGCCAAAGGCCGTCAGTACGTTTTTCTCAATGAGTTTAAATCCTAAAGACTTGAAACTTTCAGGATAAATGTAAAATTTAGTACTGAACAAGTTTACTTAAGAGCAAAAGCAAGTTAATTTAGTAAAATAAATAGTTATAAATGTTTTTGTATGAACGAATTTTTAGTTAAGATTTGTATAAAGGATTTGCAGAAAGAGTTTCCAATAATTATCACAAATAATTTTTTAATTACATAAAAGATATATATTTTATTATTATTATTTATTATTATTATTATTAAAAACTAAAATTGAAATTTTTTAAAGTTACAAACCATAACTCTTGATAATGCTTTAACAAACAATTTTGTTATTCATGAACTTGCTAAACAACTTATTTTTTTTAATTAATATTAATACTGAGCTATTTCAAATTGCAGCTTAACATATATTATAAATCTAATTATTCAGGATAGTATAAAGAAATTTTTAAATATTATTAAGAAGGTAAATATATAATTTTTTAAATTTAATTGCTTATATATTTATTATAAAATTAAATAAGTTTATTTTAATTAATATAGATTCATGATTGTGTTAAAGCAATTTATACCTTACCAAAATGTCATTAAGCTTTTGTTAATGCCTGTGATTATGATAATATTGATATAATTATACCTTTGCTTAATTGTACAACACATTGGAATTTGACAAATAACATGTTAAATTTTGCAATCAAAGTTAAACAAGTATTAATAAAACTTAAAAGACAAGATCATTGTTTTCAAATCTACCATCAGAAGATAAATAGGAACAAGTTAGTATAATGCAAGTAAACTTAAGATTTTTTATGAATGTAATTATAATATTTTTATATGCATATTTTATATTATATTTTAATTTTAATTATTAAAATATTTATTAAAGATACTAAGCAAATATCTATAAGTTCATATATAATACTTAATAATGCAATTATAATAATTTTTAAAATTAAATTACATTTACAAAAAATATAATCAAGTTTTAGTACATTTATTTGTGAATTTACTATACAAAAAAAAATTAATAAATACTGAAAAATACCAATATTTTATATTTAATTGCATGTATACTTGATTCATCATACAAATTAGAATGGTTTAGACACTATTATGAACAAAAAGAAAAATTAGCACAAGAAGAAGCTAAAAAGATTATAATTAATTTACAAACAAAGTATATACATATATGAAATTTTAAATTTATATTAGATATATATATATCTTATTTATTTATTTTTTATAGATTTGAAGAAACTTATATCAAGTTTTATTATAAACATTTATATACTGATACCTCTATTGAAAGGATTACAAGCACCTCACCTGATCTAGATTACCAATCTGATGAAGATTACCATCAATATGCATTTAAATGATCATGAATGAATACTAATAATCTTTATGAAATACAACAATACTCAAATAAACCAACAATTTCAAAAAATATCAAACCTCTTCATTGGTGAAAATCATATTATAATCAATTCCCAAATCTATCCAAGATGAACAAAAAACTTCCTAACTATTCCAGCTACAAGTGTACTATCCAAACAAATTTTTAGCTTAGCAGATAAAATTATTGACGATTGCTGTGTTAATTTAAATTCAAATACAGTTGAAGCATAAATATGTCAACAGAATTGGTTATCTAAGTGGGATATATTATTTTTTTCTATGCATAGTATAAAATTTAATAAATATGCTTATAAAATGTAAATTACTTTCTAATAATATGTAAATTTCTTAGAAAATATAAATTGCTTATAATATGTAAATTGCTTGTAATACATAAATTGCTTAAAGACAAATTGGTTCCAAACTTTAGTTTATATTATTGGATCCATGGGTTGACCATGGATTATACTATGTGGTAATGGGCCGGGCTTGGATCTATCCAATTAAATATGGGCCGAATTTGGATCTACATATTTTTAATGGTCTGGATCTGGACTTTGAAATATCCAGCCCGGCCCGGCCCATGCGGATCCCTAGTCACAATCATTCATAGTTAATTTGCTAAATACTGAGATGATTTTTTACATTTGAGCTTTTAATTAAAGTTGTTCAGAATTAAATTCTGAACTTTAATTAAAAGCTCGAAAGTAAAAAATCATCTCAGTATGTAGCTAATTGACTACGAATGATTGTGACCGTTCGTGACCAAACCAATCCCTAGTTACAAGTACGCATAAATCTTCTGACGGGCATGTTACACTAAATCTATTATTTTCACAATTTAAGATTTAATTTGTATTAATTTAGCAAACGGGAAAATATAAAGATAAGCAAGTACGTACCATAAGCTTAATTTGCATAAAGGTCAAAATCTATATTGTAATTTTCATAATGAAATGTGAAAACTGCCAAATTGATAAGCTTTCAGAAGAATTTCCACATGGGATAATAAGCTCCATGTGTGAACATGTCACGTCTTAGTGTTTAAGGGTATAATATTTTTAATAATATTTATAAATATGCAATTTATATTACTTATTTTGTTAGTGTCTTGTAAAATACCTAAGAGAAATGCAGCATAAGTGTCCTATATGCAAAGCTGAATTAACAGAACAAGAATTTGATGACTATTGTTTACTTTGGTACAATGCAAACTTTAAAGTTGATTTCGAAAATCCATCACAAGAAAATCCCCAACTTTCCAAACAAAATAATACAAATTTTTTTTTTAGACCATTTTATGTTCTGTTAAATGGAGAAAAGCTTGAACTAAATCTCACTGAAATTAATACAGTTAGAAATCTAAAATATAAATTAATGAATTATACCAAGATAGATATTGATAGACAAATATTAATTATAAAGATACTGAACTTGATGTGCGTAATTTATTTATTTTTTTGTTAAAAGTCTATAATTTTTTTATCGTAATATCTTATTTTTTATACAGAATGAGATTGATAATTCATTCGCAAATTATGGAATCTGTAAGAATAGTCATATCCAACTTATCATTGTTATTTATTCTATCTCTCAAATTGAAGCTTAAAAAGTTTAGTATTCGATTTATATTGGAGTTACACACCCACAAAATTAGATTTTCTTGACGGCTCATGTTTAATATTTGAAGGTGATAAGTTATGGAAAACATTTGATTATAAATATAAGTCACATTCTGATATATCATACATCACGCATTCCAGAGATAACATAGACCATAAAAATGGTTTGTTTATTATTATACTCAATGATATATTACATTTTTATACCTATTTGATAAATTTAAGTTATCTTTACAGCTACAGGACATCATAAAATTCAAATAAAACTTGATTAGTGTTACGCAGCTTTATTTAATCTTAAGCTCATTTAAATCTCCGACAATTGAAAATTTTCGGAATCCTAGCATTAAATTATATGATGAAGAGAAGCCGGATAAACAGTTATGCAATTACAATATACATAAGGCTGACAAATCACAAGCTGTTATAATGTGTCTTATTAATCGATCAAAATATGGTGAGCTTTGGTATTGGGATTTTTTATTTTAATGTTTATTTTATAGCAATTCTCTTTTTTTTTGTTTTTTAGGCAGGTGGAAAGTGATTGAAGTAGGTAGATTATCACCGGGAAACATCCTGAAATATGGTCCAAGAACAGCAAATATCAAAGATCTTATTAACCTTAAGGTTAAAAATGAGTTGACTAGAATACAGCAAGTTCACTTTTGGTCATTAAAGTAATTCACCCTAGCGTCTATTTTACCTACTCACCACGATCTTATTTTAGTGAAAAATAGTAGATAAAATTACATATACGCTAATTAACTAACTCATTGAAGGGTAGATTTTATCCAGTAAATTATCAATAAAAAAAAATTATAAAAACTAAAGCTTGATCAATAAATTATCCCTTAAACTGTCTAACACACAAATTTGTATGCATAAATCATGATTATTCTATGGTTGAGCTATTGTGAGGCCCAATAACGTGACGTAAATGCTCTGCCGGGACCTCACGTGAGAACGGGTACGACGATCAATTCCTCGATTTAGATATCCCGGCAATTAATCGCATTAATGCGATTAATTAAATATATCAAGGAAGTGGAATTAATCGAAGAAAGGGGATTAATTAGAGAAGGGCGATTTATTTAGTAAATGGGTTTAAGTGAATAAATTAGGGGAATTAAATTAAAGGGTTTAATGAGAGTAATGTAATTAATGAAGTTATAATGAAAAAGATATTATAAATAAAGGTCGAAATGGCCCTTTGGAGCAGTACGCTTCGTTTGCTTTATTAAACAATAAATCCTAATACCCTACATTGTACTTAATAAACACTAACACTATTACCGTTACAAACCTTGTAAACTCCTGTAAACATTGCTGTTCAACCCTTGTACACGTGACTTACCCTATTTGCATTCATTGACCCAAAGTGACCGAAAGCCTTAACCGCCCACAAGCCAAATCTAGCACCCTCTTTTGAAAAGGTTACTTATCGTATGTTATGCGAGATTTTGAATTTTGGAGCAACCAAGTCGCAATCTTCTGAACCTAACACTATCAAATTTTATATGATAATAATTACTGCATTTAATAATTACTACATGTAATAATATTTATTGCATGTAGTAAATATTATACAATTATTACATTACTTCATATCATAATTTGAATTATGACACCATACTTTATCTATAGTGATCTAAATTTCATTGAACATGCAAGTTTAATTTTTTTTAATCCAATTCATAGTTCTTTTAATGTTTATATGAATTTCTTAATTATTTGAATTTAAAATATACAAAAGATATGGAAGTAGTGCTAAGAATGTGTCAAGTCAGGTTATGAGTCAACCCAAACCAAACCTGAACTGAACTGACCTAAAATTTTAAGGCTAATATATTAAATTTTTTAAAAAATGAATTCAATCACATGTAATGATGACTATCGAAATTGGTGAATCAAATCTGAACATAATATGCTTTATAACTACTACAGTAAAAGTCATATATTGCATATTCAAAATCAATGAAAGAAATTTATTTTTATCCTATAATTCATGGAATTAACAAAAAATTTATTGATATTGTCCTACAAAATTTCACAGTAGATTCTAGATTTTGATTGGCTAAAAGCAATAAGCAAAATACTTGGCTGGAATTATTCAGAATCTTATTATTGTTCCTGGACAAATTTTACCATAATATGAGATTATTTACCAAAATTTCTATTTTTGTAATGAAAAAAAAATCAATATATAATCAGAAATTAGTAAATTATGTAATGCAGGCCAAAATTTTGTAATCTGTAATTATAAATTAATAAAACTTGAAGATCTGCTATGAAAATTTTGTTTGACGAAATCTGATTAGTAGTTTTATTTAAACTATTATTTAATAAGTAGCTGCACAACATTATCACATGAAACCAAGAATGAGAAAAATCTATGCAGACATTATTTCAGTTATAGGAAGTTATATTTTTATTTCAAATCTATTTTTATTATAAGAAAAATAATATATTTAATAAAGATATAACTTTCTCTGTAGATCATTTACACCAAAACTACAAAAAAACATTTGATTATTTCTCAATATTCTATTAAGTAACCTTACTTGATCTCTTAAATAAAGTTGTTCAATACACTTTTTTTCTTCTAAATTGCTGTGTTTTATTTCTCAATAAAACTTGGCTGCTGAGAAAAGTTTCAAAAACTAATATTTTAGTTTTTGTTCATTTATATATAATTTTACTAATTAAATCTATAAATTTACTTATTTAAAAGTTGTTCAGCTCACTGAGATGAACATTTTAATATATAGTTGTTAAAACTGGACTAAAAATTACTGAGATACAAGCAAAAAATAAAAACAAAATCTTATCTTTTGTAAGTTTTTTTATTGGCAACTTTAAGAAAACTTGCTGGATTGTCCTAAAAATTTCATTTTTCTGTGATCTATTAGAATTTTCTAAATATCCAATTAGCTTATCTGTAACCTAAACACTTTTTTCAAACTTTCCTAATTAGTCTAGAAACCCATAAATGAACTAAATTTTTTTAAAAAACATATTTAATGATCTATTTTTTAACAAAATATTGACCTCAGTAACAAATATACCTGACATTATTAATCTTGATTACTTTTACTATAAGTGTTCTAAAAGTTTTGGAATTGGTATTCATGAAGATGTAACAACCTTATCTTGTCCTATCTCTACAAACAAACAATTCAAAAATTGCAATATTACTGAACTTAAAGAAAGTACCAAATGCAATCACTACTTCAAAGCACCTGAATTCAGCTTTGTTGTCAAATGTTTTTGTGACAAATATCATATACACTTTATTTTAACAACTAATTAAATCTATAAGCAACATGAAACTACAAATGTTATTAAAAAACTTAAAGATC